TCTTGATATTAAGAGTAATTACCTTGTTAGTGAGAGGCCTGGTGACCAGCCTTTCAAGTGGACACCCACAATGTATTTGGTGTGGTGTACTCACTAGGCATTTTCTAGAACGTGAGCGGTTTAGCAGGTAGAGTAACACGAAAGTAGCGTCAGGCACGCCTTCCGTTTGCGATCCCAACAAGGAATAGGGGTTAGATGCGCGGCACAACATCCTTATCGAACAAGCATGCAACAAAAGGACCTGACGACCCGAACACACCAGGAAAAACGCAAAACTTCCCGCAAATCGGATACGCTTCCCTCCCCATACCTACCGTCGCGTTACGCTCCCCTCCCCCCTCCGCCGTGGCGTTACGCTCCCCTCCCCCATCCGCCGTGGCGTTACGCTCCCCTCCCCCCTCCGCCGTCGCGTTACGCTCCCCTCCCCCCTCCGCCGTCGCGTTACGCTCCCCTCCCCCCTCCGCCGCCGTGTTACGATTCCCTCCCCCCTTCCGCCGTCGCATTTTGCTTCTCCCCCCCCTCCACCGTCGCGTTACACTTTCCTCCCTCCCCCCTCCGCCGTCGAGTTGCGCTCCCCCCTATCTCCCTTCTTTCCTTTCTCCCCGGCCTCGCTACTTCCTGTACCTTCGTTGTTCCCCTCACTCCCTCCCTACAGGATGGGATTGGGATAGAGATAGCAGAGGGCGGGGAAGGGATGGGAAGGAGATGGCAGAGAGGAGGAAAGGGATGGGAGGGAGATGGCAGAGAGGAGGAAAGGGATGGGAGGTAGATGGCAGAGAGGAGGAAAGGGATGGGAGGGAGATGGCAGAGAGGGGAAAGATGGGAGTGGGGAAGGAGATGGGAAAGGGGGCGCTTTTGCAGCAGGGGAATGGGGATGCAGATGGACGGGGGGATAGGTATGGGGAGGGAGATGGGAGAGGGGGGTAGGGGGGGAGGGCTGGGGAGATGGGGAGAGGGGGCGTTTTTTCCCTGCCTCCCTTCCTCCCCTGCCTCCCCATCTCCCCATCCTCTCTTTCTCCCCTGCCTCCCCATCTCCCCATCCTCCCTTTCTCCCCTGCCTCCCCATCTCCCCATCCTCCCTTTCTCCCCTGCCTCCCCATCTCCCCTTCCTCCCTTTCCCCCCTGCCTCCCCATCTACCTTTCCTCCCTTTCTCCCCTGCCTCCCCATCTCCCCTTCCTCCCTTTGCCCCCTGCCTCCCCATCTACCTTTCCTCCCTTTCTCCCCTACCTCCCCATCTCCCCTTCCTCCCTTTCTCCCTTGCCTTCCCATCTCCCCATCCTCCCTTTCTCCCCTGCCTCCCCATCTCCCCTTCCTCTCTTTCGCCCCTGCCTCCCCATCTACGCTTCCTCCCTTTCTCCCCTGCCTCCCCATCTACCCTTCCTCCCTGTGACTGCAGGCCTTCTGACTCCCTTCTTCAAGTGCAGCACATTTGATGCCCGCAGTCCCCTCTGTCCCTCCGCAGGGAACAAAGTTTGGAGCGGACGTTAGGTCTCGTTTGCATGGGTTCCTGAGGCTGTTGTTTGTAGAGTTGCATTAAACCCAGAAGCCTGAACTCGGGTTCTTTAGTTATTTTCTTTGTTATCTATAGGAAGAAACGTAATGGACATTTAGCTCAAACCATTCTTGAAAGGCACTTATGGTTTCTCTTTGTTAACATTCTCATCTGATTTGTTTACATGCAACGTCAGGTCTTGTTACATATGTACCGAATTTGGTTGGGAGTCGCGTAGGGAAGGCCCATTTCGAAGCTGCAATCCGGACTCGATTCAGTATGTTTGCTTCCGAGAGGGTTACAATTCTGGGTGCAACATCGAGTACTCCCTTGGCCAATTTCCAGAGAAAGAACACGCCCCAAGCTCGATGATTGTCGCAATCGCTTTCACTCACATTTCATGTGCTTTCGGCCTTTTACTCTGTCACGCTGCGCATAAATTGCACTTCCGCTCTTTTTATGCGTTTCAAAAAATTACGTGAGTGCCCAACTTCAAGGGGGGCTCTCTTGAAACCCCCCTATGTAATTTTAGATAAGGGCTTTAAGGCCTAGCCTGATTTTTCAAACTTTTGATTTTTTTTTTTTCTATCCTAATTTTTAGGGTTTGTTTGTTTCGTAGGCCTGAAATTTTGGATGTTGTTGCTTTAGCGAGCCTGACGAGTCAGCCTTTACCAAAAACTGCCCTGAAATGGAATCCCTCCCTCCCCCCCTCCCCTCCCACCCAATTTATGATGTAATGATGCTCGGCCCCTGATAGGTCAGTTTTTGCCCGATATTTGAGTCCCGCTGGAGTTGGTGTGAGGAATATCATTGGTCCTTCACCAAATTTTAGCCGACCTATGTATGTTCGCTAGTTAGTGAGGAGAGTGATACGTCCTTTACCAAAATCATGCATTTTCGGCCAACAGCAAACGAAGTTGGGGCACTACAGTCGAACACGTAAGGTCGAAGAGCATTCTCAGAGCAAGAATTGAGCTAGAATGAGAGATACACGGTGGTTTTGTGCTGAGGGGTTGTACTCTCTAAGTGTACGCACCTATATGGCCTAAAACAACACATACATATATGTTTGACACACCCCCTAGGCTAGATAAAGGGCAGTGCCTGGCAAGAGACTCGCAGCTCAGGGTGGCACTACTAGTCCAACCTCTGAGGCAAGGGTCCGAGGACCAGTCAGCAAGAGTACAAACTAAACAAGGTTAACCCAGGGCGGCACTACTAGTCCAGCCCCTAGAACAAGAGCCACAAGGCCATTCAAGATAATATAAGAAGAAGTGCACAATCAGGGTCCTAGCAAGTGAGAAGCTACAGGAACTAGACCAAGCTTTACACAGTGCCGCTGATGATCTTTAGGCACAAGTGCCTTAGTAAACATATCAGCTGTGTTGACACCGGAGGCCAAGTCTACTATGCGGACCTGGCAGCGCTGCTGTAGCGAACGAAGACCAGATCGTCTACGTAGACAAGGATGTAGAACGACGTCTGGCCTGAACGAACAAAGAGCGAAGGGTCTGCAGAGGACGGGAAGAATTGCAGGTCAGCTAACGTAACACAAAGCGTGTCGTACTACTTGCGCGGCGCCTGCCGTAGGCCGTAAACCGGGCGCCGGAGGAGCCACTGGGTCCCCGGAGCGAAGGTGCAGGTGAAGCTTGGCGGACGGCGCAGGTAGACCTGCTTGTGCAGACTGCCCTAAAGAAACGCTGTAGAGAAGTTGAGGGTGTGCAGCCCGTAGTCGCGCTGTGCTGCTACGTATAGTAGCGTCTGAAGAGTGGTCATCTTCGGGGTCAGGGCGAAGGTCTGAAAGAAGTCAACACCCTCGCGCTGACTGAAGCCTCTATCAGCGTAGCGCGCCTTGAACACCGGCGGCTCTCTAGGAGGGTGCTTCACCTTGAAGAGCCACCGCCCATCGACTACGTTCACCCCAGGTGGGGGAACTACGTCGACGTAGGTGCTGGTGGATCTCCAAGATGCCATCTCCTGCTCCATGGCAGCTATCCACTGAGAGGCCCACGGTCCCGAGATCGCCTCAGGGTAAGTGCGAGGGGTCTGGATGTCAAGGGCGTCTGACTCACCCTGAGGGACTAGCAGCATGACGCAGAAATGGGGAGCGACCTTGGACAGGAAAGCGAGCTCGTACTGCCGGTCCTCTAGGACGTCATTGCCAAGGGCATGAGCACCCCCAATGGACGGAGGATGGGTAGGGCCAGAGGACAGAGAGGTAGCGTAGTCAAGGCTGTGAGTAGAGGCAAAGTCAGCGACAGCAGCAATAGAGCAGAGAGACTAGAGACAAGAACAGATGGGTCGGTAAATAGGGAGGCTTGGACCCGAGGAACAAGAGGACTAGCGGTACGAAGGACGTCAGACAGAGGAGGCGACGGGAGGAGGGGAGGACGAGACGCGTGGGGACGAAGCAACATAGGGTGAGAACGCGAAGCAGGAGAGGCAGGACGAGCACGAAAGGCACGGTGAGACCACCAGCAGGAGGGTGGGGTCGGGTGAGGAGACAAGGGTGGAGAAACAGGAGGAAAACGAGGGGGGAAGCGAGCCGGAGACGAGTCCGGTGGAGGAAACACAGGGCCGTAGACAGTGGGGAGAGGCGGCGATGGGGGAGGCGCAAGGGGGTGGTTAGGGGAGGGAAGACTGAGGACGAGAAGGGCGGACACCGGCGGCTACTGCTGCAGCTCCGTGCCGACACCAGAACCTCCAGCTGCACTACGGCTACCTCCGGGACGCTCCACGCCAACGCCCCAAGAACGACAACCCTCTCTAGTACCGGTGCCACCCCCCAGACCGCCGGGACAAGCCACGACAGGAACCCCAAGACTAGCACCCCCAGAATCAGCACCCCCAGAACGAGAACCCTCTCCAACACCGGTGCCACCCCCAGGACCGCCGGGACAAGCCAAGACAATAACCCCAGGACTAGCACCCTCCTCAACTCCCGCACCTCCAGAGCTCGCAGAACCCTGCGGCGGCTACGGCTGCAGTGGCGGCGACCGTGGCTAGTGGTGCGGCTGTGACGGCAGTGACGGCGGCTGCTGCTACAGCGGCTATGGCGGCAGTTGTTGCGATGGTGAAGGAGGAGACACCGGGGCAGAGACAAGCGGCAAGAACGGAGCCGCAGGGCCCCCAGAGTCAGCCGACTCCTCTACCGAAACAACCGATGGGAGGGGAGTGACGTGAGATTCACCAGATGGGGCAGTTTGGGGAGGAAGAGGAGCAGGGGCTACCGGGGGAGTGGGAACCAGGAACAGGGGCGGGGTAACCGGGAGACCTCGGTGGGGAAAGCGGGTGTAGAAGGAGACAGCCTCGTCAAAAGTGACGTCACGAGATTGAAAGAATCGTTGAGACGGCGGGTGGTAAAAGTGCCAGCCAGACGTGTCGAGGGCGAAGCCAAGGAAGACACAGGGGACATTGCGAGCAGTGAGCTTGTCCGTGCCAAAGGCACGAACGTGAGCAAGGCAGTCCCAGACATGGAACGCAGACGCATCACCCGGGGACCCGGTGCAGAGGAGGGTTGGCCACATGTTAAGCTAGTGAGTGGCGTAGCGAATTGTGAACGGCCACTGAAAATGGGGTGCACTGGCATGGATTATGGAGGTACTAGTTACCTCTATGACCAAACCGATGTGTCGCTCAGCGACCCCATATTGCTGCGGGGAGTTCGGTAGGGTGTACGACTGGGTGATGCCCTCTGCACAGAACTGGCCAAGCCGACCGGAGGCGAATTCACCAGCACAGTCGTAGTGGAGACGCAGCACGGGGAGGCCGAAATGGACTCGTGCAGCTACTACCCACGGGATAAGAACGTCAGGCGCGTCGGCCTTACGCACTAGGGGAAACACCATGGTGTAGCGCGTATAGTCGTCGACAAGCACTAGAAAGTAGCGCTCTCGACGCGGCCCACGGACGGGGACTGGGCCCCAGACGGGTGCAGATGCAGAGTCTGGAGTAGCGCAATGGTATGGGGAAGTGAATAGGAGTGAGGAGCATGGCACAGCCAGCCCTCGACGCAGGGCGTGCACGGCGGCACATGCGAGGGAGGGAGGGCAGGGAGTGGCGCATGGAGACCAAAGACAAGACTCTGCTGGGACATGTTATGCAGACGGGGGAGTGCGGGGTGACCTAAGTGGTGGTGGCACAGCAGCGACAGGTGGGTGAGCGACCGACACGAGCAAGCCGCAACAACCTGGGAGGGCGCGGCAACCTGGGAGGACGCTCTCGCCGGGGGGACGCTGTGTTTAGGGTGAACACGCCAGACATCGGTTCCCGGGGGAATGTGGTGAGAGGGGCTCTTGTGGCGGCCTCGGTACAGACTGCGTACCTGATGAGCATGGCGCTCATGGACTACGCTAGACTAGGAGGTTGTGGTGAAGGTTTGGTGTGGGAGGAAGCAGAAGCCGTTCTCCATACAGTTATGCCCCCGCAGCTGCGTGAAGAAGAATTTTAAGCATAGGAGGGTGGTGGTGGAGGTGGAGGAGGAGTAGGAGGAGGATGAGGGGGAGGAGGAGAAGGAGGATGAGGAGGAGGAGGAGGAGGAGGAGGAGGAGGAGGAGGAGGAGGAGGAGGAGGAGGAGGAGGAGGAGGAGGAGGAGGAGGAGGAGGAGGAGGAGGAGGAGGAGGAGGAGGAGGAGGATGAGGAGAGGATGGAGGAGCAGGAGGAGAGGAGCTTTGAGGAGGTGGATGATGACTTCGAGGAATCAGTGGAGACCGAAGCAAGGATAGCAAGACTAGTAGTGAGGAAATGCTTCAAACTATTGAATTGAGTAAAAAGTAGCACATGTTGGTTGCTGCTGCTCCATGAATGCCTTGTGTATCAATACTGGTGCCATGACATTGTTGGCCACAAACAACAACCAGTGGTACAAAACACACAAGGCAGAAATAGAGGCCTGATTCGTCTGACACACTCAAAAAATTTGCCTGATATTTCATGCCATGGGCCTGACAAAAATGGGTTGAGGGATTGGCAGCCCTGACCCGTCAGACCCCTTAAAACGAATCTGAGACCCTGTTCGAGCCGGATCGGAAAACCAAACGGAATGTACCTCTCTGGAGTGCATTGTAGTTAGTGTCAGAACTCTGTCATTAACTACTGAGTTAAAAGGGCTTGTTAAATAGAGGGTAAGTGCGCCCATAACCTCCCAGGCTCTGCACCTATAACCCTTTCCCGAGGATCTCAAGGGCAACCCCAGCGGGTATCTCGACACCCCCCCTCACTGGGATAGGCAGAAAACGGCACCTCTGCTGATGCACTGTCACCTCTACTCGTGGACACTGGGAATTAAACCCGAGACCTTTGGCTCTGATTCCATGTTATAACTCAATCACTAACCACTGAGGTAAAATGGCTTGTTACAGTGGCGTAAAGTATTGTCCACATGTTTGTGACTTGGAGGAATTTTGCCATTTTAGGGGGGTCATGGACACTAAGCCTTAATATTTTGGTGTGCGTAGTCTATGTAGGTTGGGGTAAGGCTCTATGCCCATGCCGTACATCTCACAAAGATATTGATGTTTACAACAAATAACATAAATTAACAATCATGGTACATGCAGACAATTATTGCCAGGCGCAAGCAGCAAGTTACATCAACCCCAAACTAGTACCTAGTCCACCGCCCTTTTGCCTTAATCACCGCCCTCACCCTCCTGGGCATGCTTTCCACCAGGTGGGTGCACACATCCGTCGGGATCTTCTCCCATTCCTCCTGGACATGCTCCCAAAGGTCCAGAATACTAGTGGGAGGCTTCTTGTGCTTGGCCAGCTGCCTCTTGAGATGAGCCCATAAATGCTCTATTGGGTTGAGGTCGGGTGAGGAAGACGGACACTCTAGCACCCCAAACTCTTGCTCTCGAAGCCACTCCTGCACGATACGCAACTTGTGCTTCAGGTCGTTGTCGTGTTGGAAGATATTTTCCGAGGGTGAAAGCTGGTAAAACTCAATCGTACTATTAAGCTCGTCCTACAGTATACTCAGATAGAGCGCTCCGTCCATCCTATCATCTATTTTGCACATGAAACCCGCGCCATCATACGACATGCACCCCCAAATCATCAAGCAGTCGCCCCCGTGTTTGACGGTCTGCTTGATTTGGTGGCTTTGGAGGGCAGCACCTTCGCGAACCCAGGCATAGAAGCGTCCATCGGAAGCAAACTGATTGATCTTGGTCTCATCCGACCAGATCACCCGCTTCCAATCGTCAACCGTCCAGTCGGCGTGGGCACGGGCCCATTCTAGCCTATCGCGTATGTTTTTTCGAGAGAGTCGCGGCTTCTTGGGCTACTGGATGGCGACAAGTCCGCTGCTATTCAAAGCATTACGCACCGTCCTAGGATGCAGCGTGATGCCGTGCTGCATCTCGACAATCTTCGCCGCGTGAGCGGAGGTTTTGGCCTCCCCGCTAGTAATCGACCGAACTATGCCGCGGCGAATTCTCTCTGTCACTAAGCGAGGGCGACCGGCTGAGATAATCGTAGGACGCACAGCATCATGGCTAGACTCTTCAATCGCCTTAAGTCCATAATCGTGGACCGTGCTCTTGCCCATGCCTAACTGTTTAGCGATTCGACGAGTGCTATACCCCCTCCGCAACAGGGTAATGATTCGTGCGCGGCGCGCCTCATCTATCGGTTTCATGACAGCCTAATCGTCGCGGTGCAGCAGTCCTAGCCTATCTCCTGACTACTCGATATTCGTGAGGGCAAGTAAGTAGAAAAAGCGAGGTTAGGAAGCAGGATAATGGCAATAATGTACAAGGTAGCGCAGAATGGTGGGGGGAAAGCAGTGAGCTGGGCGGCAATGCTAGCAGTGCGGTAGCTAGTCTCTAGTGCACGAAGGTGAGTGGTGAGATCAGCAACAGTGGGGAAAGCGGAAAGATCGGGGAATAGCATAGGTAGGATCAAGCAGCCAGCGGAGGCGAAGGCAGGTGTGGAGTAGCGCGCAACTACTGCATCTAGAAAGTCTTTGGCATTCGCGATAGCAGTGAAGTGCGGACGCTCTGACAGGGGAAGTGCATGACTAATCGCAAGCTGCGCGACAGCATCGCGAGAATCCTAGACAGCTCGAGCGAGCGTAGCAGCAGCAAAGGCCTCACTCTCAGCAGTGGTGGGGTCAGCAGGGAGTGGATCAGGCGCGGGGGGGCGGGGAAGCAAGCCATCAACATGCATAGCCAGGGAGTGCTCATCCTGACACTGACCTGTCAGGTGCCGGCGGAGATCGACAAGCCAGGCTTTGAAGTTGATCACGTGCCCCTCCGCGTCCAGGCGAAGTACGGCGTCCTCCATCGTGCAGCCTCAGCGGCACCGGGACACGGCGGCACAGGTACTCAGCGGCACGACGGCATAGCGGCGTGGCGGCAGAACTCTCCGGCGAGGAGACCGGGCGGAAGGCCGAGGAGGACCCGAGGCGCGCAGGGCCTGAGGCACGCTGAGCCGGTAGGGCGCAAAGTGCCGGCGGAGTGCTGGGACCCAGTAGCGCGGGAGGGCCAGTGGGCGTTCGAGGAGCCAGTGGGTGCGTGAGGGGGGGCGGAGTCTCACGAGGGGCCGGCGAGGCGCGCGAGAGGCCGGACAGGTGCGGGAGGGGCCGGCACGTATAGGGGAGGCGGCGAGCACTTGAGGGGTCGGCACGGCGCAAGGGGCCGTTACGCCGTGAGTGGGGCCGGCGGTGCGCAAGGGGCTGGCTAGGTGAGAGGGGCCGGCTAGGCGCGAGGGGCCAGCTACGCGCGAGGGGCCGACACGGCGCGAGGGGCCGTCACGGCACGCGCGGGGGCCAGTGGTACACGAGGGGTTGGCTAGGTGAGGAGCCGGCTAGGCGCGAGGGGCCGGCTAGGCGAGAGGGGCCGGCTAGGCGTGGGGAAGGGGGGGGGGGGGGGGGGGCTAGACGAGAGGGGCCGGCTAGGCGCGAGGTGCAGGCTAGGCGCGAGGGGCCGACTAGGCGCGTGAGGCCGGCACGGCGCGAGGGGCCATTACGGCGTGCTAGGGGCCGGCTGGGTGTGAGGGGCCGGCGGGGCGCTAAGGGGCTGGCACGGTGCGGAAGGGACGGTGGGCATGCTAGGGGCCAGCGAGGTGCGCTAGGGGCCGGCGAGTGCGCTAGGGGCCGGCGGGGAGCGGTAGGCTAGGGTACAACGGAGCGGTAGGCTAGGGCGAGGGGCGGAAGCGGGTGGGCAGACCTAACCTACTATGATACCATATTAGAATATGAGAATGATTAGAAACAAGAGAGTACAGGGCAGATATAGGGTTGGAATTGTACTCTCTAAGGACACAAACCTATCTAGCCTATAACTTCTACATACAAATATATATGTATAAGTTGACACGTGGCTCGGCAGAGCTGCGACGTGTGGTTCGTAAAATGGTGCGGAGCGCCCAGTTCTAGGCATGCAACAGCAAGGCGTGCAACAATACATGCGACTCGTCACGAGGAGGCCACATTTGGGACCACGATTTGAATTTCGTGGCAGAGCTGCACGGCAACCCCGTTATAGCAGTGTACGCCTAACTAACAAATGTTGTGATATAGTTCATAATGAGCATTTCTGAAAGTCTTTATCAGTAGAAAGTGTCGAATCCTACAGTAGAAGATAAGTCTGTAGGATGGCATCAGCAAATAACGCTCGTCATGGGGACAGTCGTTTCAGTCACGCGAACAGTCGCACCTCTTCATTGTCATTTAGGGTGCATAGCGAGATAGTGACGAACAGGTACATTAGCGAACAGGTACTTTCCTAGAGCTATAAATCCTTGTTATGCCTTTTTCATATTAACTTTGATTACCCAAAAGTTCATGAGCTCAGGTTGTTCAACCTTGATTATCATACTCTTACAAGACTTCCGCTGTCTTACTAGTCTACCATTCCAGCAAAGATCCTAGGCTAACACTTGAGGTTTTCCAAGTGTTTGTGTTTGCAGACTCTACACATAGTTTCCTGCAACACCTGTCAAATTATTACATGGTATGAGAGCTGTCTGGAATTAAGACTACTGCCAAAATGACTGGAACAACACCAGCGCAATCTATCGGATCTAATTCAGGAACTACTGGAGTACCTGTCTCCACGACCGCCACTGGTCTCTCAGCCTCTGGACCGTTTCCACCGGCTTATGCGCACATCGGTATGCAGCAGCAGTAGAATCCGCCTTCTTTCAGTAATCAAGGTATTTCGTCGACTGCACCTGCAGCGCAACAACAACAAACACAGACAACAGCACAACAACAGGCATCAGTACAACAACAGGCATCAGTACAACAACAGGCAATAGCACAACCACAGTTTTCGACTCAGTCAATATCGTCAGCGATTAGTGGAATGAGTCCTGATGGCTCAAGTTACAGTGGCGGATTAAATTGCCCGGATGTTTAACACTTTGAAACGTATCGTTATGCAACACATGTTTCGAAAATAGTAACACCCGTTTTTTTCCATTCTGTTACTCGGTTTTTGAGTTCTGCTTCATCCGTTTCTTGCTTGGCGCGATTGTGACACTAACGGAAAGTGGGGTTGAAATTTACTACTCGACTGTCGATGTGGACATTTCCTACCGAGCGGAAGAGTAGATCTATTTTCCCCCCGTCGCTCAGTGTGTACATCGTCACGCGCACCAGTTCCTAGCTTAGTTGTTAGTCCGGAAGCGAGCCTACGACCGCATCGCTATGAAGCCGTTAAATGAGAAGAAGCGCGCGAGGATCAGAAGCATGTTGCGTGCGGGGCATTCGACTAGGAAAATAGGGAAACTTCTTGGCATAGGCAAGAGCACCGTGCACGATTACGGTATGAAACTCGCTGAGGAGACTAGTCGCGAGGAGGTGCGACCTACGATGCCTTCGGCCGGCCGCCCCCGCTTAATCACAACCCGTCTCCAGCGCGGAGTTATACGTGCGATTACTAGCGGCGAGGCGAAAAGCTCTTCAGACGCGGCCAAGATGTTGTTGGAGAAGCACGATCTCGCCGTAGACTCGAAGACGGTCCGCAACTCTTTACGATCCGCGGGGCTGATCGCCGTGCATCAGCCCAAGAAACCCAGGCTCTCACCGAAAAACATCCGCGATCGTCTCGACTTCGCGCGGGCGCATGCCGACTGGACGCTGGAGGACTGGAAGCGGGTGATTTGGTCTGACGAGACGAAGATTAACCGCTACTGCTCCGACGGACGTGCGTACGCCTGGATTCGCGAGGGCACCAGCCTTCGGAGCCACCAAGTCCAACAGACAGTTAAGCATGGGGGCGGTTCTGTGATGGTGTGGGGTTGCATGACGTATGAGGGGGCGGGGTTCATGTGCAAGATAGATGGCAGGATGGATGGGCCGCTGTATCGCAGCATCTTGCAAGATGAGCTCAAACAGACCATCGATTTTTTCAAGCTTTCCCCCTCAGAGTGTTAGGATTAAGGACAGAGTCTAGGTGAACTTAGGAGCTAGAATTACTCAAAATATAAATCCGAAATTCTGGACAGAAAAGTCGTCTTCACAAGAAACGACGTCGACAAAACACTAGCCGTTGGAATGTCGCGAAACTTGGATATGTTGTAGCTCTTGATCTCAGCTACCGTTCCCAATTTGAATCACGTTGATTGATGAAGTATTCGCGACGCTATGGCTTTCGACGCACTAGGGGGTAAGCTGTAGGAGGAGAACTTAACTCAATCTCAAGAGTTCAATCAAAGTTCAAGAATCTCACAAGGAATTAGAAGGAGCAAGAGAAAGGTTGGGATAGGAAGAGAGGGATGAGAGGGAAGGTCCCAAGAGAGTCCCCAACCAAGGAAACCCCATAAGCACAAAGATTCCCTCCCTATAGGAACCTCAACTTTGACCTTTGTCCCTTCCCAACCAATCCATCCAAGTTGGCCACCCTTGCCAACCTAGCTTGGTTGTTCCCAACCAATTTGCAGCTGTTACAGTGAGTGACAAATTTCCCAAACCCCCAAAGGTCCCAACTCCATATAGAGTCACCCCACAACTTCACTTTGTAACCGCCGCAATTGTAACGCAAGCTCATGAACTTTGAATCTTCATAGCTTTCGCGTTCTTGCTCCGATTGAAGCGATTCTTGTTGCGTCGGAAAGATCTTCTCAAGATCTATCATCACAAATACCTGCTCAGACAGAATAACACAAAACACATTCCCAAACTCCAGAACACACCACACACAAATGCTTGCACATTCAAACCACACATGCAAGTTGAAAAAACATGGGATGGGAGGCAGACAGAATGTGATAGCATATGATGACATCACACAACAATCTCCCCCTCTGGCTGCCAACCATCAACCACCATACCAACATCTCAAGCATGCATACTCAATGCACACTCATTCCAGCAAGCTTCATGCCTTTCCAATGATCCGCCTCCGCCAGACGCTTAGTGAAAATATCTGCTGCCTGCTGATGGGTCTTCACTATCTCCAGCCGCACCTCCTTATCAAGGATTCTCCTCACCCAATGCCACTTAGGCCTTATGTGTTTTGTCAGCCCATGCAGACAAGCATTCTTGGCGAGCTTCACAGCGGACTCATTGTCACAAAACACAACTGTCGGCTTCTCCTGACCAACTCCCAACTCCTCCAACAAACGCCTTAGCCACACTACTTCCTTGGCCCCATGGTGTAAGGCCATGTACTCAGTCTCACATGAGGACAATCCCACCTCATTCTGCTTCTTGCTGCGCCAGCTCACAGCACCACCTCCTAGCAAGCACACATAACCCCCAATGCTGGTGCCATCCGCTTTCACTGAGTTGAAGCTAGCGTCAGTATAGCAACTCAAGAGCATCTTTCCACTCTTCACATCTGCAGCACCTCTCTGCAACCGCTGCCTCACTCCACTGTACTCCAATCCCACTGATGCCGTAGCACTCACATAGCGGACCAACCTCTTGGCCGCTTCCAGCTGCTCATGACTAGGGCGTGAGACCACACTAGCTAACCGTGATGTAGCAAATGCAATGTCAGGCCGTGTATGATTTGCAGCATAATTTAGTGACCCAACCATCGAATGAAACAGCTTCCTGTCACTCTCATCCACTACCTCCTCATCAGCACATGGCTCCACAGTAAACCCTGAAGGTAGTGGTGTTGCTGGCTTTCCCCCATCTTGCAGCCCATACTTCTCAGCCAGCCCCTCACAGTACTTCCTCTGGTGCAACCTCAGCACACCCTTCTCCACATCTCTCTCCACATGCATCCCCAGGTAGTACTTCACCTCACCCATCTTGGAGCACTTGAACTGCATCTCCAGCATCTGCTCTGCGCTGTCCAACAAAGCAGTTGATGCAGAAAAGAGAAGGATATCATCCACGTACACCAAGAGCATGAGGATTTCATCCTTCTCCTGCAGCAGGAACAGGCTGGGGTCACACTCACTCTTCTTGAAACCCCCAGCCAACAGCGCCTCCTCCAACTTGTGATACCATGCACGAGGCGCCTGCTTAAGGCCATAGATGGCCTTCTTCAGCCTGCAGACCCTGCCGCTCCCATCATCCAGCCCCTCTGGCTGCTTCATGTACACCTCCTCCAGAATGATCCCATTCAGAAAGGCAGTCACAATGTCCATCTGCCGTATCTTCCATCCCAGGAGTGCAGCCATCGCCAATAGCACCCTCAATGTTGTTCCTTTCCCCACAGGAGCAAACACCTCATCATAGTCCTTCCCCTTTGTCTGCTGAAACCCCCTTGCCACAAGCCTAGACTTGTAGCGGGTCAGCTCCCCTTCAGGTCCATACTTGTGCCTGTAGATCATCTTGGAAGTGATTGCCTTCTTCCCAGGAGGCAAGTCACACAGGTCCCATGTCTCGTTTTCAATCAGGGACCCGAACTCCTCATCCTCACTCGCCTTCCACTTCTCCCCATTTGGTCCATTCAAGGCCTCTTCTCGAGTCTTGGGCTCAGGGATTGGTGCCCAGTAGCAGTGAGCGATCTCATCTTCCTCAATCTGCTCAACCACACTCCCAGCCTGCACCACATTTGGCTTGCCTCTTCCCCCATAGGTCAGCCTCACAGGAGGGCGCACATCCCTCCTAGGTCGCTCAGGCGGCTGTGGAACTCGAGGTGGAGACTCATGTTGCTGTTGCTGCTCCACTTCAGCTGCTCCCCCTTCCTCAGTCACCCCAGACATCTCCTCCTCTGACACTGCAACCTCCACCTGTCTTGAAGGCTGCTGCACCTCATCTGCCTCCACAATGAGCGGTGTAGATGGAAGCTTCTGTTGCTGCTGCTTCCATTCCTTGTAGTACAGGGACTCAAGAAACTTCACATCCCTTGACACTGTCAGCTTCTGGGTGGTCAAGTCCCATAGCAGCCACCCCTTGTGATCCTTTGCAATCCCCAAGTGCACACCCCATCTTCCAGAAGCCTCCAATTTCCCCCTTTTCTCCGTAGGCACATGAAACACCACCATGCACCCAAATGCCCTCAGCATGTTCACAGCTGGAGCACTCCCATACCACTTGGTATATGGGATCCACTCCTTATCCCCAACTGTAGCCAGCACCCTGTTCTTCACAAGGGCGACCTGCCTCAGTGCAGACACCCAAAACGGATCAGGCAGCCCTGCACGCCCAAGGAGAGTGCGTGCCCCCTCCTGCAGGGTCCTGTTGAATCTCTCAGCCACGCCATTCTGCTGCGGGTTGTAGGGCACTGTCAGTTGATGCTGGATCCCCTTCCTCTTCAACTCCCCCTCAAAATCAGCTCCAATGAACTCCCCACCATTGTCACTACGGATCACCTTCACCTTGTATCCGCATTCCCTCTGAGCTCTCGGCATCCACTCCTTAAGGACAGCCGCTGCCACCTCCCCCTTGCTCTTCAAAGGGTAAACCCACACTGCCCGAGTGTGGTCATCCACAATTGTCAAGAAATAGCGGCTACCTGAGAGGGAAGGGGCTCTTGTGGGCCCCACCACATCCATGTGCACAAGTGCAAGTGGGGTCTTGGCTGGTCCTGTAGCACTGTTGAAGGGGAACTTGGAGAACTTGGTCTCCAAGCATGTAGGGCAGCTCCCAATCTCCTTCACTTCCCCTTTCACCTCCAAGCCCTTCAGGCTCCCATTCTTCACCAACTTCTGCAGCATAGGGAAGTTCACATGACACAACCTCTCATGCCATGTCTCCCAATCGGCCTCTCCACTCCTTGATGAAGCCTTAGCCCATGCCGCACTCGCATCCACACCAGCAAGCACCTCACTATGTGTCTGCTGCTGGTGCACTTTCTTGACTGCTTCCAGGACCCCATCAGTTGGTGCAGTTGCATCTCCTCCTGCTGTTGCCTTTGCCGCTGCTGCCGTTGCTGCTGTTGGAGTCTTCCCATTCCATGGGATGATGGGCAGCTGCCACAGGTCCTTGATGCAGCTGGTCTCCTCTTCCAGACTCCACAGCACCTTCTTCCCAAGCTTAGCACGGCAGTTGGTTGGTCCAAAGGTCACTTCGGCCTTACTCTTCTGCAGTCGCCGCACAGAGAGAAGGTTAGCAGACAAGCCTTTAACCAGCAGAACATTCCCAAGCCCCACAAGCTCCCCATTAGCTCCCTTAACCTTGGCATTCCCAACGCCAATCACAGGGAGCAAAGCACCTGACGCTGCTGCCACATACTTGTTCTTCCCAGGGGGTTTTACCTCATCAAGCAAATCTGCCCGTGGGGTCATGTGACTGGTGCAACCCGAATCAATCACCCAGTGCGTGAGAGGGTGCATCACAACCTTTCCCACAGATCCCACATCACCCTCATGCCCATGCACATCCTCAACCATAACAAACAAACCAGGATAGGCATTACCTTGTGCACCTTCACCTTGTGCACCTGAGCCTTGCACAGCGCCACCTTGTGCGCGTTCACCACTTGGCGGCTTCATGCCTGGAGGTGACCATCCCTCCGGCCTGCTGAAGCACTTGAACCAAGGATGCCCGACCTTCTTGCAGTACCAGCAGGTGCCCTCCATTCTGGTACTCCCCCTGCCACTGGAGCTCCCATGCCCCTCATTATAGTCACCTCGGCCTCTACCTCTGCCAAAGCTCCTCCCACGGCCTCGGCCTTTCCAACCCCCTCTTCCTCTGCTGCGCCCTGCAGCTCCATACCCCTCAGCAGTCTTAGTGGCAGCACCGCCTCCCACATGGCGTCTGCGGAAGTCCTCCTGCAGAATCTGCTGCCTTAGCCACTCAGGTGTCCATTGATCTTGCTGAGAGTTGAGGGTGGGGATGAGGTTGTCCCAAGAGTTGTCCAACACCGAGATGATCTTGGTGCACTGCTGCAGCTGAGATACACTGCTGCCCGCTGCTGCCATCCTTGCATAGGTGTCCTTGATCTTGTCAAGGACCGGCTTCACATCGTCCCCTGGTCGCATGGAGATGGCAGCAAGTTCCTTCTCGAGCACGATCACCATCGGGAGAGTGTTGGGCTGAACCACATCACGTAGTAGTTTCCACGCCCTTGGACCCGAATCATCCGCTTCCACAAGATCCTTGATGTGCTCGAACATCTCCTTGTTGACCGATTGAAGAATGAGGTCGAAAAGCACCGCGCTTTTCTCAATCCACCGTTCACGTGCTTCGCCTTCTTCCGGCATCTTCTCTTCCCCAACAGCAATCTTCAGTAGCTTGTAGCGTTTGAAGGCACTCCTCATCCGTCCGCTCCATTCCTCATAGTTGGAGCCATCCAAAGCTTCAACCTTTGATGGCGGCGGCTCACTTGTCTTCTCAGGTACAGCTCCTCTTCCATTAGCATCTCCTCCTCTCTCATTCATCTTCTCCTTGAGAAATGACGAATTTCAGCTCCCCTTTGCTGTCCACACTCAGCTCCCTCGATATTTTCACAAGTGTCGGCGTCCACGAAATTTCGGCAGAGTTTCCCCTTAGCGGAAGACACATCCAACCTTTAGAACACCACTTAGGCACACCCACAGGCCATGGTGGGTCTAGAAGGGTCTTCACACTTCTGTAGACTCCTCTCAACGTCCTTAATACAGCTCTGATACCACTTGTTAGGATTAAGGACAGAGTCTAGGTGAACTTAGGAGCTAGAATTACTCAAAATATAAATCCGAAATTCTGGACAGAAAAGTCGTCTTCACAAGAAACGACGTCGACAAAACACTAGCCGTTGGAATGTCGCGAAACTTGGATATGTTGTAGCTCTTGATCTCAGCTACCGTTCCCAATTTGAATCACGTTGATTGATGAAGTATTCGCGACGCTATGGCTTTCGACGCACTAGGGGGTAAGCTGTAGGAGGAGAACTTAACTCAATCTCAAGAGTTCAATCAAAGTTCAAGAATCTCACAAGGAATTAGAAGGAGCAAGAGAAAGGTTGGGATAGGAAGAGAGGGATGAGAGGGAAGGTCCCAAGAGAGTCCCCAACCAAGGAAACCCCATAAGCACAAAGATTCCCTCCCTATAGGAACCTCAACTTTGACCTTTGTCCCTTCCCAACCAATCCATCCAAGTTGGCCACCCTTGCCAACCTAGCTTGGTTGTTCCCAACCAATTTGCAGCTGTTACAGTGAGTGACAAATTTCCCAAACCCCCAAAGGTCCCAACTCCATATAGAGTCACCCCACAACTTCACTTTGTAACCGCCGCAATTGTAACGCAAGCTCATGAACTTTGAATCTTCATAGCTTTCGCGTTCTTGCTCCGATTGAAGCGATTCTTGTTGCGTCGGAAAGATCTTCTCAAGATCTATCATCACAAATACCTGCTCAGACAGAATAACACAAAACACATTCCCAAACTCCAGAACACACCACACACAAATGCTTGCACATTCAAACCACACATGCAAGTTGAAAAAACATGGGATGGGAGGCAGACAGAATGTGATAGCATATGATGACATCACACAACACAGAGGTCATTTTCCAGCACGACAATGATCCCAAGCACAGGTGTCGTCTGGTCCAAGACTGGCTTGGGGAGCAGGAGTACGCGGTGCTGGAATGGCCGTCGTGCTCCCCGGACCTTAACCCAATTGAGCACCTGTGGGCATACTTGAAAAGGCAGCTGGGGAAGTACGAAAAGCCGCCAAGGGGAATGCTGGAGCTGTGGGAGAGGGTGCAGGAGGAATGGGACAAGATACCGCCGGAGGTGTGTGCAAACCTGATCGACAGCCTGCCGAGGAGGATCAAGGCAGTGATTCGGGCAAAGGGACGCTGGACTAGGTACTAGTTTTCCTAGAATCTAGTGTGATACCATTTTCCGGTACAAATTGTCCACATGTTCTCCCATGCTATGCTTAGGAGTTTAAGGACCATGTGTGGTACTACTTTGGTGTTTGAACACTGGAGTGACTGCTCTAACTGAACTTCTCAGCGTTAATGCACACCGTACATTAAGGCTTAATGTATACGCCTCTGCACTCATAAAAATGCCAAAAAAGGCAAAACATGTGGACAATTTAATCCGCCACTGTATATGCGTGGAGCTTCAGCTCCAAGTTATGGCTTATTTGCCTTCTCATCTTTTGCGCAGCAGCCTCAGTCGCAGCAACAGCACCCCTTTTACATCTTCGGACATTCACCTGCTCAGCAACAACAACAGCAACAGCCACAGCAATTTCAACAACAGCAACAACAGCAACAGCCTCAACATAGTATCATTTTTCAACCACCAAATTTACTTAACAGCACACAGATCAAGACCACTATACCTTGTAACGGAGTTGATTTTTACTCCTGGAGCTTCGAATTTGAGCTTCTGGCGTAGTCTGCCAGGCTATGGCCATTCTTCACCGGCGAGTTTACATATCGTGTTACGGGAACTCAACTAGAGCAACAGAGTTTCTTGCACGCCTCTCTCAAGGCGTATACGGTTCTTGTTCGGAACTTATCCCCAAAGAAGCAGCTCGGCGTCCGATCTTTTCATTCCAGCTTAACGCCAGCTGAAACTGCATGGAACCACTTAAGGGGGGTATACATGGCAAAAGATACAATAACAGTGAGTAAAATTCTTTCGCAACTGACAAACGTGCAGATGATGACAAACGAGAATGTCATGGATTATGTCAATCGTGTCCGTACACTACGCGATCAACTGGAGAAAAGTGGGGGATACTTCCTTCGTGAGATGTATCTCACGGTCCTTCTTGCTGGACTTGGACCCGAATGGCGACAAACGCGTGCCTTTCTGCGCATGAATCCGAACCTCTCCGAAGCCGAGATTTCTTCGTATCTTCAAGCAGAGCAGCAAGATCTTGACCTGCAGTCAGAATGCAATCAGAAGAAAGGGATACATTAAAGTTTTTACTCAAATCCAGAACCGCAGCAGCAACAACTTCCCCCGAAATATCCTTTCTGTCATTTCTGCAAGAAAGCAGGACACACTTACCAGACTTGTCGCAGCCTACATCAAAATCGTCGCAGCACTTCACAGCCGTATCACCGTTCGCAGCAGTTACCGAAGACACATCAGCCAACGCAGCAGTCGACGTCCCCGATGCAACAGATGCCGAAACCGCCGCAGAATCCACCACTATCACAACATCGCCCTCCGATCTTTGCGTCTGCAACATCAGGAAAAGGGGTCTTTGGATGCGTTACAACAGTTGATGTTTCAGAAACAGATTTCGAGACACGACTTGAAGAAACTACAAGTGCTGAAGGCATTCCCTTGGCGCAAGTTTACGCTAACCTTGCTCGAGTAATTTCAGGTCTAAATACTTGGTATCTCGACAGCTGTTGCGGTTGGCACATGTGCTCCGCTGAAACAAGCTTCATCACCAACCAGCTTCCACTTCGACGTCCGATACCTGTCACAGTCGCAAACGGACAAACCATAATGGCACGTTCTATTGGGAGTGTAATGATCGAATAAGTCGACACGGGATATTCTTTACACGTTACAAACGTTCTTATCATCGCTGGTCTTGGCTTCAATCTTCTCTCCACGGCTCAGCTCTTGGCACACAAGATCCGCACACAGGGCAATTGTGAATACTTAACGAATACTTACCTTGGTCGTGCCGCTACTCAACCTGGCGTGTCAGTTCTTCAGTTCACGGCACAAGGAACCTCTGGCAATTCTGAACGCGTCCTTGCACTTGGTCCCTGGGATCTTGCATAAGAAACTGATTATCAAGACGTGGATATTGATTTTTGAGCAACTACTGTACCAACAGCTTCTCAAACTACAGCAACCGTTCTTACCACACTAGATACTTGGGAGTTCAATACCACCGATGAAGGCGCCAATGCTTGGCGAAAGTTTTATAATACCCGCGCGGCCTTCCAAGGAACTCCAGCTCCACTTTGGGGAGAAATTAGTGGACTTGCAGCAGATGAACCTGACGTCGTTAAAGAAGCCGAAAAGGAAGAAGTCGCCGAGCAGCCGCGTCCCATAGTAGCTGTCGCAGGACCACCTGCCACCACATCGACAAAGGACGTATCAGATGTTGCAATCGCAACCATAGCAGAACCATCAACAATCAAGTTACCCCTTACACGTTTTGTTGAAGGGGAGCTCGACATGTCTCCCACGCTTTCTCCCTTTATAATTTCTTCGTTTTATACTAATGCCGATATCTACCTGCGATCATCAGGACACAAAGCCACCGAAGACATCTCGCATCAGCGGTTAGGACATCCATCACAAGGGATTCTTAATCATTCAATCCGAGCAGCAGTTCTTGATAAAAATAGTCTTCTCTTACCTGACGGCACGGAGATGAAGCCGCAGTCTCGCCCGAAGGTTTGCACCACGTGTCTGGTCGCCAATCTTACCCACGACCCGTTTCCAAGTCATTTTCCTGGCTCCACACGATTTAAACTGATGCAGAAAGTCTACAGCCATATTCTTAACTTACCTGAAGTAGGACCTAAAGAAGAGCAGTACGTGATAACCTTCATCGAAGCATCTACTCGCTACGTTTGGACAGCAAACCTTCCTGCTCGTTATCTCGCTCATTCAGTCTTCGTCGCATGGCTCGCTGTCGCTGAACGAGAGTCAAGCGTGAAACTTCAAGATTTTCAGAGTGATGGCACAGGGGAATACACGAGCCACACCTTCACAGACTACCTCCAGACACTCGACATCAAACGGAAGCAGTCACTGCCGCATGCACACCAACAGATGGAGGTAGCGGAAAGGATGAACCGAACTGATCAGGAGAAGATGCGTGCTCTGTTGACTCAGGCAGCCCTTCCGCCGCGTTTTTCGCCATATGCGATGGACCACGCCGTGCTGTTACATAACCTGCTCTCTTCCACGTCACTACCCGAATTTTCTTCTCCGCACCTGCAGTGGACACACACAGTGGGAAGTACCAAACTTTTACGAGTTTATGGGTGTGTCGTGCAGTTTCGTCCTCCAACTGCTACACTCGGCAAATTTTCAGAACGAGCAAAATGGGGGGTACACCTCGGCATCGAAAAACAGTACCACGCTTGGAAGATTTTGGATCTACGTTCCAACCAAATCGTCCCTTCACGTGATTGTCTTTTCTATGAAAGACTCACCTTGCCCGTTTTTCGTGCCCACCAGGCAGCAGCTGCCAGCCCCGCCAGGCTATTTGAAGGCTCGCGTGCATTTGCAACTGACGACGCCGAAGCTGATGTACAGGACAAAGCAGTTTCTGAAGCCTCCGAAGCTGCCGCAATAGCCATTCCCGAACCTGTAACGTCGACTGGTATCCCGGAATTTATTCCTCTTGCAGATGCTCACCCGGATGACGTTCGCGAAGTCCACCTCAGTTACGAACGCGATCGCCAACAGCAGCCGATGCCAGCCGTCTCCGACAAAGCAGTTCGTGTTACACCTGACGAAATTGGGGGGGAAGAAGGACCAGAAGAAAATTTCGCAGGTGCAAACGAAGAACGTCTGCGTTTTATAGAAACCGGCTTACAGATTCTTGGATTTGCAGTCGCAGTACAGTACAACGACAGTAAAATAACTGAACCGAAAACCATTCGCCAAGCTCTTACGAGCCCTTACCGCGAAAAATGGCATGAAGCCATGGATAGGGAGCTAGCAGCTCTCAAGATTCGTGGTACATGGGAGTTAATACCGACATCAGAAGTGAAAGGAAGAAAGGTACTCACCGGAAAATGGGTCTTCCGTGTCAAGACTAATGCAGATGGGTCGTTTGAAAAAATCAAGGCGCGATGGGTCGTTCGCGGATTCGAGCAGACTTACGGCACGACTACGAGATGACTTTTGCTCCCGTCGGTCGACATACAAGCGTTAGGATTTTACTCTGTGCCGCCGCCTGCCGTAATCTACGACTTCAGCGAATCGACGTGGCAAACACGTTTCTCTACGCACCCGTCGACACACTCATACTGGCAGAGTACCCGCATTCCTATACTACTAACCCACCGAGCGTATGCCGTCTCCAAAAATCGCTATACGGCATTAAACAGGCACCTCGGCTATGGCAACAGTACCTACATTCACAGTTACTTACCGCTGGATTCCGTCAGCTACCGCATGACCAGGGAATGTATCTTCTAACCGACGGAAGCAACTATATTTTACTTGTCGCCTACGTCGACGACATTCTCTATGTC